TTCTACTGTTTTTATTAAAACCCACTTTTTTTTTCTTTTGTCACAAGAAAGTAGTTTTGGCAGCACTTCAAGAGCAAGACTGTTTGGTTTATTTGTTTTCTAATCTGTTTTTAATAATCTTTTTTTTTGTTTTCTAATAATTTTCTTCTATTTTTGTAAACTACTTGGCTTTTCTGCCCTTGCTTGATTCTTCTCATAATAGTTTAAGTTGTTGCTATAAAATCATTTTGTTATCTGACTTTGAAAATAACTAATTCATATAAACTAAGTTAAATTTACTAAGAAATTTAGCTGTGTTTTTAGTAAAGTCATTGCCTAGTAAATCTGCTATTTTTGCATTTTTATTCTCTATATTAAGGTCTAAAGTTGTAAATCTTATTGTTACTTGCATCTCTTTAGCTTTAAGCATAACATGACATGCTAGATTGTCTTTTCATAAGCTTTTGCATGCCTTAGGTGGATTATAGTACCAATTGTTTTCTAATGCACCTATTAATAAGAGTCCATAGTTAATTTATATTTTTGTAAGAGCTTCTTCTAAACCTATAGTATTAATTCGTGCATAAAAACTTGTAATTTGCTTTATTAATAGTTGGTGCCAAAGCAAGTTGCAATTTCTATGAAGTATAATATTATTGCTTACTGTACTTGCAATTTCAAGTTTATGTTTTGCTACTCTTAAAATTGGCTTTTGTATTGCTTCTATTATCATTTTGAATAATTTTGTTACCTGTAGCAAATAGGTAAGCTTAGGTACTATGCATATGTTATTAATGTAGACTACTTGTGCTATTGTTATTTTTTTTGTTTCAAGACTTCTTATTATTGTACATACAACTTCTTGAGCTCTTGTTTTGACTAAAGACTTTTTTAGCTTATTGTTAAGCCATATTCCCAAGAATCTTGTTATTTTGTTTACATTTTCTGTTTGTATCTATTCATCACCTAAAGGTATTTTTCTATTTTCTATTCTTTTTTTTGTATTCATGATCACTAGTCTTGATTTTTTTCTATTTATCTAAATGTTATTAATTTTAAAAAAACTCTTCTGCTATTTGAATTGTCTGCTCTATCTGTTCTTTGTTTTTTGCAATCCATGTTGTATCATTAGCAAAAGCTACTACTGCTTGCCTCTATTTTGTTTTCTTGCAGTAGTTAAGATTATAATTGTATGGAATGTCTACTTCAGCTGTATATTCAAGATTTGAGTCTTCTTGGATTCTTTTGAGTAATAGGTTATAAAATATTCTTCATACTAATAGTGATAACACTTTATCTTGTTCAATACTATTTTCTACTTTCTATATTTCTGTAGTTCTTCAGTGCATAATGATTTTAGATTGTCTGTTTTCAAATAGGTTCAATATGAAATTTATAGTTCTTTCAGGCATTTTAAGTCTTCTCATTGCCAGATCTAGTGCTTGCAGAGATACTAAGTCGAATGTCTTTTTTATATTCTGAAAAACCAGCCATAGTTTCTTGTTATTGTCTTTGGCATCTTCTATTAATGCATTTATAATATGTACAGGTTCTTTTGTTGAGTTTTCTGAAAGACCTGTGAAATTAGGACCTTTGAGTATTTTCCTCTTTGTAAAAACTTGTGTTAATCTGTTTGTCAAAATCTTTGTAGTGCATTTTCTTAAAGTTTCTAGCAGAGCGATAGGCCTGACATTATTCAAGTTATATTGCTATTCTGTTTCTTTTGGTATAAGATATATTTGTGATATTTTCCATTTTTTTGATACATCATCTGCCTTGATGCATATTTTGCAAAGATTCTGAAAATTTTTTGTATATACAGTCCTGCTGCTTGTATAAGCTGATAAGTAATTCCTGTAACTTCTGAAGCTATATTTTTTTTTAGACCTGTTAGCATTTCTGACTATTCATCTGCTATGATGTCTTGGCTTATATCTTTGTACTAATCTGACTGTATTAATGTTTTAAGTTTGTAAATTTCTTCCCATTTACTATTTAAACTTTTTTTTCTAAAATTTTGGAGTCTTAATTAGTTTTAAAAATGTTTTTTGGTTTGTTAAGAACTTTCAGTAGTTCTATGATTAATTTTCTATAACCATTTGTGTCTTCTATAAGTCTGTCTATTTGGATTTTTTTACTTGGTCTGTCAAGCAAACTTGTAAGTATTTTTCCCTGTTTGCTATTAATCATTTGACATCTTTTTTCTATATTTTCTTCAATTTCTCTTCTTTTTAATATTTCAATCTCACTTGATCTTCTTGCATAAAATATTTTCTACCAATCTTTGAGATTTTTTATTAGTTCTTTTGTCTAACTTTTGGATGCTAATTCGATATATATTTTTTGATGTTGCTTGATGTATTTTATTTCTTTATTGAGTTCTTGTATCTTGTTCTTTAGAAAACCAAGTCTAATGTTTATTCTACCAATTCTGATCCATCTTCCTAACTGTGTTAGTACTTTGGTAAGTTTTGCTTTTTTTGTTTGCTTTTTCTTATTTTCTATTGTGTTGAGTATTTTTTTTTAGAGAACAATTTTCTTGCAGCTGATTGTGTGCCATTACAGATAATATCCTACCAGTTATCTAATTTATTTTTCATGTTGGCATGCTTGCATTATTTAAACTATATGATATGTTTTTTGGATCTTGTATATTAATTTTTTCTTTAATTGTTGGTTAAGCTCTGTTTTGTAGTTTTTTTAATCTTCTTTTATTGCTTTGTCATATAGGTAGATTGTTTTTTATTGATTAAATCTTTTAAGTTCTGCTGGACTCCATATAGCTATTAAGTGTTTTAAATCTATTTTTGCTAGTACTACATTATGATCACTGTTTGTGCATATATCTATTTTTTGTATTTCTGCATTATAGAGTCCATATAAGAATGTTTATAGCAAAACAAGGCTTAAAGCTATATAATATATAGTCCTGAAGCCTTGTTTTGCTGTAAACATTCCCATATGATAAATCTTTTATTATTCATATTTGGTTAATTCTTGAACTTGAGTCTTTACTTGATCAGAAGAATTTTTTGGTTTCTGAATTTATTGTTCTATATATATCATAAAGCTTCTGTTTTGTTAACCACTTAAGATGAGAGTTTTGTTTTTTTAACTTTCATTTTGAATTATCTGATCTATCAAGTTCATTATTAACTATACTATTGAAGTCTTTCATTATTATTACCTGTATTCTTTGTGATCATTTGATGTATTTTTCTATTACTGCTCTTTAAATTTTCTTATATTCTTCTTTGTTATTAGGTGGCATATATATCATTATAATTAATATTTTTAGTTGTTTGAATACAAAGTTGGCTGTAATCATGTTTTTGTTTGTTCTATCTATTTTTCCAAGATGTTTTTTCCAGTGTTCATTGATAAGTATGCCAACACCTGAGCTCTTTTTCTTTTCTGGATTTGAATTTATCCAGAAACTCTTATATTTCTTCATATTTCTTGTAATAAAAAAACCTTCTTTGCTTGAAATGTTTGTTTCTGACAGCCTAATTATATCTATTTTATTGTCAATTAGCCATTCATACAGTGTTTCTATTTTTTGATTATTTCTCTTAAGACTATTGATATTATGCGCTGCTATATTTAAGTTGGTTCCTTCTATGTTTTTATTTCTTTCTTTAGTCTTTTTTTTTAATTTCTTCTAGGTGTAATATATTTTTTTTATTTGTAGTTTGTTTTTCCTTTTTTTGTATTAAAAAGACTTTTGTTTCTATACTCTTGTTCTTTGGTTCAACTATAGCGAAAGTTAGGAATGTTGTAGTTATCCTCTTTTGGTAAAGGTTTTGGATTGCACTTTTTATGTTTCAAGTCTTTCAAGCCTAATTAATATGCATTGTAAAAGGTCTTGCATTTGTGTTTGGTTTTCTGTATTTATATCTTTTCTGTTTCTTCTTCTATTTTTATATTTTTTGTTTTCTTAAGAATCTACACTTTTATAATCTTCTGAATTAGTGTCTTGATCAGATTCATCTATATCTTCTTTTCTTTTGTTTTTTAAACTTTCTCTCTTTTTTGTTTTTTTTTTTCTTCTATTATCCAAAAAATTCTGAAGTTGTTGTATCTGATTGGTTTGGTTTGGGCTGAGTTTATTTCCTTTTTTGTTGCAAAAATGGTTGTTGCTGTTTTTCTTTGATTCCCATTTCTGTTTGATGAAATATAAACAGACTTTGCACTCTTACTTTTTAAACAATACAGCAAAAGTACTTCTAATGCACTTCCAAGAAGTTCTGTTAACTTTGCTGTAAATTTGCTTTGGTGATTTCTTTTTTTATAATCTTCATTTCCTTTCATTACTCTTACTAGTTTATTATTATCTATTGGTAATAACTACAGTATGTCTTTATCTTTATATTTATCTGTTTTGATTATTGCTAATGCTTTGTACTTTGATCTTTTGATTCTAACTATGTTGGCCTTTTTAATTTTTCTGCAAATAAAATTTAATTCTGTTCTATTTATGTTTGCTGATAGGTCCCAAATAGTTAAATAGTTGGCATAAGTTTCTTCTAGTTCTTTTTTAATAGAGAGATTTTTATCTTTATCTTTTTCTTTATTTAATTTATGTTCAGATTGCTTTTTTTTAATGTTTGATTGCTTAACTTGGTCTTTTTCTTTACTTTTATTTTTTGTCTCTTTTGAAATGAGCTTAAGCCATTCTTCTTCTTTCTTACTAATTCTTTCAATTGCTTCATCTCTACTATGTTCATAATCAAAGTCAACTTCAATCCAATTATTTCTTTTTTTAAAAGCTTTTTTGATTGTTCTTATATATTTGTTTTCTTCTAGAATTCATCAAACATATTTGATTCTTTCTTCTTTTGTTTCTCTAAGTAGTATATAGTTGGAGAAATTGACCTTAAAGAACTTGTTTCCTGTATATGTTCTGTATCTAGAAGACCAATCATTGTGTTCTATTGAGTTGAAGATGATGAAAAAGATGAGAAGGAAGATGGGAAAAAGAAGGAGGTAGGCAATGATATAAGGTCTTCTAACTCCATTTGTTAAGTTTCATTTGGTTCTACTGATATGTTTTCATTGATCTTTTCTTTTTTAACTTCCATTCTTATTTCTGTAAAATAGTTTGTTTCTGCTTCTTGGTATTGCTGTTCTATATTAAGTTTTTTAATTCGACTTGTTATAACTTCAACATCTGTACTCAATTCTGTTTTATTATTAATTTTTTAATATCTTTTTTTTAAGAGCATGTTATTGTTAGGATTCTCTTTTTTATTTTAATTTTTTTCCACTCCTTCCATTTTTTCTTCTTCTTTTTGTATTTTCTTCTTGCTTATATCTACTGTATATTCAACTGATGCTAGGTTAAGATTTGTCATTCTTATTTTGTTGAAGCAATCTTTAATAAACTTTTTCGGTAAAGTTATCATTACTTCTGTTTTAACTTTAAGAGTTTTGAGTATTTGGCTATTTAGTATTAAGTTTTTTGTTGTAATATTTTTTGAGTTATTAATTGCTAGTTCTTTAGCTATAATTTCAATATTGCTTGAGTTCTTGTATATAGTTGTTCTTAGTACTTAATTCAACTTACAACTATTTAAATATCTACGAACTATATCACCTGTTTTTTGCATATGTTAAATTAAAAATTGATTATAAGGTGTTTCTATTTTGAGTTGTATATCTGTTTCTAGACTATTCTATTAATGTTTACTATTTTTAAAATCTCCTATAGTTTGTTTGTTGTTGATTTTGCTAATATGTTTATGTTTTCTAAATAGGATGTGTTTGCTCTGTGTACTTTGTTTATCAATGAGTGTTGATATATGTCATATGTCTGTTTATTATTATTTAGGGTCTAAGTCAAATTCCCAAATTTTTCAAAATTTTTATCTCAATTTTACAAGAACCCAAAATTTTTCATTGTGCTTCTATTTTTTTTGAATTGTTGTTCTAAGTTTATTTCTTTTTTCTTTCTTGAAATTATTTCTTAGTTGTTCAAAGTGTTGTTCTTAATCTAGTTTTCTACTTTTCTTTATAATTTTATTTTGTTTTCTTATAAAAATATAGATCAGCAGAAAGAGTAAGAAGTGAATTTCTATTTTGCAAATATATAATATGTTTAATAACATTTAAATAATTATATATTTATAAAGTTTTTATAATGCTAAAAAATGATTTTATTTTGTTATAATAAATTTAGCTTTTAAAACAACACAAATCAGTGTTAAGTGGCTTAACAACATGTATAAAAGATATAATGTTTGCAGTTTTCAGCAAAAGCCAATTAGATTCTATTAACATAAATTTATTATTTTAAGAAGTTGCAACTTGAAAAGCTTTATTAAAACAAGATTGTGTTATAAAAAGCTTTTTAGGTCAATTAATATACTAGATGATATAGGAAAGATGTATATGCAAAAAATTTTGAGCAAGCTTTAGTCTTTGAAAATGCCATCAATATAAAAGTTGCATATGCTATTAGAGTATGTCAAATTATGTTAAGTTCTTACTATGAATGATTAATAATGTCCAAAGAAATAGTTAAAAATCAGCTTAAAAAAAATTTTGTAAATAATTTTTTAATATTTTTATGTTTTGTAATATTCAAAATATTGCAAATTATTTTTTGTAAATTGTATTATTTCAAAATAATATAGCAAATTATTAATTTATAATAATTTAAATAATTTCTAAATATATAAATATAATAAAAT